GTGTGTGTGTGTGTGTGTGTGTGTGTGTGTGCGTGCGCAAAAGTCTTCAGGATTTTTTTTTTGTTCTTCAGAGAGAAAGAATGTTGGCACAAAACTAGCCACCAGGGGAGGAGGAGAAGGTTGGAGTGCTCCAGGTTTGTTTCATTTCATTTGCTCTGTAATGAGTCTTGTTACTGCTGCGAGAGGCAGACAGAGACTGCAGAGTTCATAGTTAAGCCACAGGGAGGGAGGGAAGGAGAGAGAGAAGGAGGGAGGGAGGGAAGAAGGGAGGATGGAAGGGAGAGGAAAAGAGAGGCAAAGAAAATCATACAAGCCAAACAACCCTGTTGTGAAACCTGCCGAACATTTTGGAAGTGAGAGAAGTATAGCAAACTTTTCAACCCCTTCCTTCCCTGTTCCTCTTTCTCCTCCTCCTCCTCCTCTTCCTCCTTCTACACTGCCCTAAACCCTTCTCAAATGAAGCCTCTGGTTTCAAGCTCAGCAAAGGAAACTGAAGCAGGGAACTTGCGAGAGGTCTGAAAAAGTTGGCTGTGTCTGTCCATGACTGTGCGTCTACCGGTGTGTGTGTGTGTGTGTGTGTGTGTGTGTTTCTGTGTGTGCATGCACGCGCCTGGGTCTGTGTGGGAATGATTACATCAGCCTGCTGCAGGCTTATGATTGGTCGGTGAGCGTGTGGTTTGATTCAGTGTGCCTCAGAGCCTGTGGCTGAGGCTGTAACCCTTTGTGAGGGGGAGAGAGAGAGAGAGAAAGAGAGAGAGAGAGGGAGGGAGGGAGAGAAGGAAAGATAGTTGTCAGACTGAACCGGCACTAAGCACTGTTCTGTACCTGCTAACATCCGATCGCTGACTGTCTCTGTGTCTCTGTCCTGTGAGCTGTTCAGACTTCAGGTCATACTGCAGGCGGTGTTATTTTTTATTTTCAAATAGACAGAGCCAGCAGAAGCCTGGATAGACTGACGGACTCCAGGCTGTGTGACAGGTAGCACTGTCAACTGTTGGCGTTCAATTTTGTATCTCTCTATCCGGAGGAGACAAGGCGGCAGAGCAGCGAGCTTCTGTGGGGGACTGAGCGTGTGAGGTGTGTGTGTGTGTGTGTGGTTGTGTTTGTGTGTTTGTGTGGGGAGCCAGACACAGTCCAAAAAATGCCTTCGCGTTCCCCGGACTGCTGCCTATTGCGGGCCATAGAGGTAAGATCTCTGTCTCTGGCTCTTATCTCTCCTCGTGTCCCTCTGCCTCTCCTCGCCTCCTGCTCTTTTTTTTTTTTACATTTTAAGTGTGTTTCCCTTTGAAGTGCTGCTGTGTTTAACCATGGGCGAGAAATGGAATGTGTAATAAATATAATACGTCAGCAGCTTTGAATGATTAAGGGTCCCCTTGCTTTTCTTTTCCCTGTGCATTTTTGGATGGATGGAGCTCGTCATGCTTGGTTTGTGCAAATTGTGATGCTGTACGTGCTGCGTCTTTCCTATATGATATATTATGTGGGAAGCATATGCATACATTACATGTGTAAGCCAGTAGGCTGGATTTATGTGTAGGCTAACAAGGCTGGATTCCTCTGCAGGTTAAGTAGGCTGCTCTAGTTTTCTCTGTGGGCCATGAGTTATGTATCCTGTGAGTGTGACTGGTTTCCTTGTGAAAAGCCAAAGTGTGGACACACTAAGTGGACGTAAATTTAGGACTGTTTAAGCCAACGGAGATGACGATTTCATCAACTGGATCACAGGCTGAATAAAACAAGGGGAAGCTTATCTTCACCATATACTAATAAATAATCATCTTGCACAGATCGTAGACACATGTTTCAGCAGCTTATACATTATACAAATTATATGATGTATACACATATAAACATACAGTAACATATTTTCTTCAGTAATAATGGAAACAAAATTAAACAGACATTTTTCATGAATTGTAAATAACTAAAAAACTTACTCTTTCTGATATTCATTATGTTTATTATTTTATTACTGGCCCAATGTCAACATTATTAAGTTGAGAAAGAAGGAGTTTTTTCATGAAGTTGAGATTTTCAATGGTCCTATCACAAGATGCTTATACATTATAAGCTATAATTTGAAACACTTTGCTTTCATCACTGTTAAACTACAGTTTCTACCCATTTGGCTGCTGCTGTGTTCACCAGCAGATGCTTGTTATACACCACAGTATATTAGCTGCTGTATCACACCAACAAGTGATGCTTGTCTGCGATTTCCAACACCGCAATTGCTGCACAGTCCGTGCTTTTTCTATTGTCTGCCATAATCACAGGGCTGCATATTCTATAGTGTATGGGGTGCTATATGATAAATACTGTTCTAGCGTTTGAGGAAAATTGCCGGCATCACCCACCTATTAGGTTGAGTTTTCAGAAATTGTTTGTGTTAAACAACTTCATCACAACTTAGTGTTCCCTGCGGGGCGACCATAAAAATCTATGTTAAAAAAAATAATCTCATTTTAAATGTTTCATTTTATTTTATTTAACTGGAAAAGTGTATTTATGTTGTTCATTTTCATACATCGATATCATAAATCGATATCACTCAGCCACTTTCCTTTTTTATTATTTGTTACTGTGTTCTTTCATTCACAGAACTCCATTCAAATGACCAGTGTTCATAATAGCTGAACTCTGATGTGTTTTCTCCTCACAGATTGTAAAGATCTTCAGTGAAGACGGCATGGGTAAAGTGGTGGAGATCCCGGCCGACATGACAGCCAGGGACCTCTGCCAGCTCCTGGTTTATAAAAGCCATTGTGTGGATGACAACAGTTGGGCACTTGTTGAACACCACCCGCTGCTAGGACTAGGTAAGGGGCAGATACTGTTCGCATACACACAGCAGCACACATGAACACACATGAACAGACGCTCATGCTCTTCCACTCATCCACACAGACGCTCGCAGTCTTGTGGGTGGGCCGAACTATGCGGCGCAATCACCGGCACACACAGGTGTATTCGCTTGTCGGCATGCATACGTTCGTGCCCGCATACTGGGTACACACGGTGCGGACGCACATTCTCACGCAGGCATGTTTTCAAGCATGAGCGCATGTGCATACTATACAACATATGCATGAACAGAACACAATGTTCAGTGATCTAGTCAAGTGCAACACAGTGGCTGTGTGATAGGTGGCTGTAGCAGTAGAGAGAGATGCAGGAGATGAACTGAGGTGGACACACACACACACACGCACACACACACACACACACAGAGGTGCTTGTCCCTGAAAAAAAGACTATGTAGGTTAAAGGTATTGATCAGCTTTGTGCGAAACAGAAAGTGGTGGAAATAAATAATGCATAGCATGTGAGGTCAGAGTTGCTTTAGGACTGACAGACCAATGATTTTCTGATTCAGCAGTGAAGAGGCGGCTGAAAGTTAAGTGTGAGCTAACTGTGCAGTCGTTTCATGAGATGAATCAGTCGCTGCTTGAAGAGTAAGCTGGTGATGAATAATCCCAAACTTCAAGACGGCCGATGCTAATTGTGTGAATGAGTGAAAGTTATCAGTTATTCCATGGAAGCAATCAGAGACGGCCTTTCCCAGATTCCCTTATCAAAGTTTACCAATCCTCATCCTCATACATTAAACAAACACAGCCACTGATACATTTTACTTTCTGAACCCTGTGTTTTTAGACTTTTCCTGGCATTGCACAGTAATTTGGGGTTGTTGGTTTTTGCGTTGGGTGTTAGTCGACATCTATCACTGATATTTTTAACTCATCTATATTGTTTAGGCTCATCCTGGTTTAGACTAAAGATCCAGTACAGTTCTGCTCCAGTTGAGTCACCTGTGAAGTGAGACTGTTATGCAGAATATTATATTATGATGACTTTTTTCAAAGGGAATGACATGAAGGGCTCACAGTGGAAGCCGACACATGAGAAAACTAAAGGAAAAGGAGGTGATAACTGAAGGTTATGGATTCAGAGCTGCACCGATGTAACCGTAACAAAACCCTTTTGACGACTTGCACTCTTCAGTATCAGCGTCGGTGTAATGTTATTGATCGGGTAATATAAATGACACAGCAGAGAGGTGATGGAGATAATTGAGGAGGAGTTTGAAAGGATGTTTTTCATGGTCGAGGTTCTTTAGGTTCACTCTCCTGAAAATAGAAGCTCCTCGCTGCACCAGGCAGGGAGCTCTGGACTCTGTAAAAAGGTTTAAATGAAGATGGCGCGACCTTCTCAGAAAAGTTGAATGATAAAGTGGTAGAGGATTTAACATTTCAGTTTGCTATTTTTTTGTTAAGGGTTACACAGCAAATCCTTCATATTAAGTGGAAGAAAGTTACATGTATATTTAGCTAACTGAGCGTGGCAATTTTTGTCAAGATTTCTATTTTTTATATCTATTAGTGCCAAGGGAGGTATGAAAATGACACAAGGAAATAGTGCAAAAAGCACGGTGATAAAACCTCTTGCTCAATCAGGGAGTTTTGACAAGTTGCCACATTAAGAAGGAAAAGGGCTTTCGTTTCTGTCGGGTGATGTTGTGTCAGACTTGGCACCATCGCAGTAAATTTGGAAAGCTGTGGCCAGCTGAAAGTTAGAAAACCCAACCTACCCCTGAGGAGAGGGTGATTATAAAGCACTTATGGAAGACAAGTTGAGCCTGTGCTCCGCACTCAGGTCTGTACATTTTAACAGATGTGGGAGAGGAGGGGGGTGTAGGTTTTATATAGCGCAGTGTGCCTGGTAGTGACCTAAAAAAAACATTCGAAAATCTTCCTTTCTGCCTTTTAAACCAGACAACCTGTGCAGGTGTGGTGTCTGTTTTTTTCCTGGATTTACAGCCACATCCACACACTAAGGAACTGCTGGAAAGGAAACTATATATATATAAATATTACATTATTCAAAGAACAGGTCCCACGGCTCTAACCTAATATTTCACCATCCATCATGATCTGATTACATTTCTCATCAGCGCTGCCAACGCCATGCTGCCAAGTACAGTTAGGCTGACTTGTGAGTGACATCATTTTTCGCTCAGAGTAGCTCTATTCTATTATAGCTCTTATTCTATTTTGGCTCACCTGTACCAAATCCATATTCCGTTCAGGTCTGTAAGAACTGCTCTTTATGTTTTATGTTAAGGCGTTTCAGTAAATTAGATGTGATGAAACAGTAGCTGAAATTAAGGAGTTATGCATTTGTCTCTATAGTGTGTGTATGTGTGTGTGTGTGTGTGTTTGTAGATGTGTGAGATGTGTCTGAAGGAGGGAAATATTTTGGGTTTTCTCTGTCAGTTCTCTTTTTGCTGGATCTTTCCAATAATTCTCAAAAGTAGCATGTTATATTTTAAAACTCCTTCACCATTAAGTGTTGACCGTTTTATAGTCGTCTGTTTAAGTTGAGTGACCCACCGGAAAACCAGAAATGTGTTTGGGAATAAGTGTGTTTAGCCATTTGAGTCATAGTTTATTTATTTCATTTTTTACAGTATGTGAGAATCATCCTCGGGTGTGTACGTGCCTGTGTGTGTGTGTCTGTGTGCACAGGCTGCAGGTCTGCGCTGCACATGTGCTGTGACACTTAATGTGTGCACATGTGGTTGGGTGGTAGACGAGAATAGCCGTTTGAGACCCCAAACAATAGTGTGTTTGAATAGAGAGGCCTATTCCCGTACTCGCTGCCCACACTGAATGGGATGAAACGGCTCCTTTGAGATAAGTGACACTGACCTCGACTTGTCAGCATGAAAAAAGGTTAATAACTCCGGGACAGAGAGGTAGTGTTGCCGGGGGGAGTCACAGTCACGAACATGAGTGACTCATCAGACAGACGACAGGATGAAGGAGAAGAGTCGTGACAGTGTTGGGGAGATTGTGACACAGGGGGATAGAGAGGATGAACAAGGGAGCACATGAAATCAGAGAACGTTGTGAGAAGATCTCAATTTTCACATCAGCTTTAATCAAATCTACCGGGGAAAGAAAAGGATGTTTTTTTTATTAAAGAAAACTTATAAGGCTGTTGGAATCCACTGAGTCACGTCCGGTTTCTGCATCACACTCAGAGAATATAAATCACCAGGACCCCTGACCGCATTCATTCACGGACACACTTTGAGCTGAATCACATCCTCCTTCCATTCACATCCACAGAGCGCGGCCTCGGTCTGATCATCCGTCACAGCTGGTTTGATGAGCACAAACCATTGAAACCAGTCTGCAATTTAAAAGATCCTTCCAGGCCACCGAGCAGTTTAAATGAAAGCCAGAAAAGTTTTGGAGCCCTTGACGCACATTAACCACTTTTTTTTTTTACGCTGAATTCAGTATCGTCTAAAATTATATATTAACTTTATAAAGAAAAGCCTTTAATAATATAGAAGATTACTAGTGCTTAAAATACATCAAGTTGGTGGTTTGTTTTTTCTTTAACTTTCTGGTTTCTGGCTCCTGAGAAATGGTGTTAACAGATTTTCTCCCCCCTCAAATTATGATATCTGCACAGGTCATTAGAGATTTCCACTGTATTTATGTAACACAGTAAAACAATGCTGTGTTTCTGATATTGAAATTAACAACTATATTATCATAAAAACCCTATTCTTTATTCTAACACATTTGATCTTATATTCTTGTTGCAATCATGTGGTATTCTAATGTCAAGTAACATATCAATGCTATTTAATTCCATATCACAATATATCCAGGTCTATACTTAATATATTCATATACATTTTTATTTTTATTATATTGTTTATTTTAGTATGTGTTCGTTGATTTATGTTTGTTTTAATGCACCAAAGAAGAGCAGCCCGGCTAATTTCAGGGTATGCAGAGCTTACAATGATGATAATTAGCCTGCCCGATAATTAAAAGGATATTGTATGAAACCATTGAAATAATTTTGCTCCTTCTCTTTTTTCCCGTCTCGCCTCAGAGCGCTGTCTAGAAGACCACGAGCTGGTGGTTCAGGTCCAGGCTTCCATGAACAGCGACAGTAGATTCCTCTTCAGGAAGAACTATGCCAAATATGAATTCTTCAGAAACCCCTTGGTAATTACTGCTCTGTTTCTTAACATTCACGTCACTTCTGACGTCCTCTTGTTGAAATATGTTACACCTATAGCCTGTAAAAAAATCACCTGGGGCAATACCTATTGTAGATTTTAGTTGTTTTTTGATCTTTTTAAACAAAGACTTTAAAGGTGCTACTAGAGGAAAAGCTTATGAGGGCAGAGATTTTTACGTAAATGCTTGATAATAGTATTTGTTTACTTTTATTAAGTGACATCTTGTTTCAGAGATGAAACGACAGACATGTCAAACAAAAAAATTCCCTGCTCGTTCAGTATCCTTGTGAAATATTATGACAGCTGAAGTAGTGACATTTGTGTGACGTTTCTGATTCTGTCATGAAATTCCCTGTAATTATCGCCACGGTGGCTGATCGTCTCCGTCTGCCTCTAACGCCGCCACCTTCTTCTTCCACCAGACGTTTTTCCCAGAGCACATGGTCGCATGGTGCCAGGAAACCAATCGTACGATTCCACCATCCCAGCTCCTTCAGGTACATGGAACGCACACAAATACAGACACACTTTCTTCAGTGTCTGCCACACACACACAGCTTGGTTTATGTTAGAGTCAGCACCCGTTACATACTGTACAATCAAGCAGACATACCTCACCTCTGACCCTGAGACAGCGTGTCTCGTCAGAGCCTGCAGTAATAACTACTGTTGATCCCCTGTTGACACACGACTGTCTCGGCACACGCACCGCAGGTCCGACACTTCTGATGGATGGAATTAGTCAGTCAGAAATAGAACATACTATTCTTCACCTGCCTACTGTGTGTTTGCACAGTGCACATTCTCCAACGTGTACCACGCCACTTCTCTGCCTCACAGACCGCTCCCGGGCCAAGTAGGCCCTGATTTCTCAAAACGTACAAGAAGAAAAAAAGTCCAGGAGGAGAGCAGACGAAAAAAAGATTCTGGAGACTTTGAGGAGCTTTGGTCTTAATGGATGAAGGGTTTACATGCAGTCTGGCTCTCTCCTGAATCATGTAATGGAGCTGTCAGAGGCACAACCACAAGGGGAATCCATCCCTTCATCCTTGCCACTCACAGAAAGCTTTTAACTCCCCCCCGGCTGATCACATAGACGTTTCGCTCCGTTGTGCTCTACGTAGAGAAGTCAATAAATGAAAATGGGGATGATGGGGGGGGCAAAATTGTGTCAGGAATCCCCAGTGTTTGACTTCTTCTAAACACAAGATCTTTGCACTCAATTAGAGTGCTGTCCAAACCAAGATGTTTTATGACCCGAGCCTGAGCAGGTGTTGGCAATATTTGCATTGACATAAGAATCTTATGTCAATGCAAAGCTGCAAGGTGTAGAGGCTGAGAAGTAAAACTGCTTGAATGAACTCTAAGCAAATGCATGATGAGGCCCATTGTAAGGCTGTCTCCGAAACACTGGGAAACGTGCTGTAGATATTGAAGCGTCCTCTGGAACCAGTCACCTCGCAGCCACAGGCCACAAGTTTCAATTCAGCTCTATTAACATAACCTACCATTTCATGGTGATACCTCTGTTAAGCATGAAACCCAGCAAGACAATTAAGCTTCGAGGGTTCCCCAATAGGAATGTATGTCGACTGAGAGTGTACTTTGTTTGCATAATGCATAACACTTTAAAATAGAAGAATGTCTTCAGAAACTAATTACATGTCCACCTCAAAACATACTACATATACTTATCTACTTCTCTGTGTATATGTATATATGTATGGGCTGCAATTAATTATTATTTAAAATGTCAGAACATGGTAAAAAATATCGATTTGTGTTTCCCAAACACCAAGATGGCTTCCTCTTTGTCCACAAACCAAAGATATTCACTTTACTCTCAATAGAGGAGCAAAGAAACAAGAAAAAATCACATTCAGGAAGCTGAAACTAGAGAATTTTGAATTTTTTTCATTAGAAAACCCCTCAAACCAATTAATCGATTATCAAAATAGTTGGAAATTCATTTACTAGTGATTACTGATGGATTAATTGATAATTGTTGCAGCCCTAATGTATATACATATGAAACTGTCAGAATCCTGTCAACTTTTTTCTACAATACACAGCTGATGTTTCAGACACCTGCACAATGTCTGATCTCAGTGTTGTCACTGCTGTGGTGTGTAAGAAACCAAAAACCTGCCGGTCATCTCAATCATCAGCCATCCATCTGACTGATGCAGGAGACCCGGGTCACAGTTTTTTATTCTTTGACAAGAAAAAGCAATTGCAGGTGACAGAGAGCATACAGACTTCAGACGTGATCCTCCCGAGGCAGAGAGTCCTTGACAGAGAGTATTATTAGAGCGAATAAATCCAAAATGCGTCATGTCTTCGTTGCTCCATCTTTCAGAACTTCCTTGCGACCAGCAGCTGTCCAGAGATCCAGGGGTATCTGTACGTGAAGGAAGTGGGCAGGAAGTCGTGGAAGAAGATTTACATGTTCCTGCGGCGCTCGGGACTCTACTGCTCGACAAAAGGAACCTCAAAGGTAACGGCATCTTTTCATCTTAAGTGTATAGAATAAATCGTATTGTAATTATCCTTGACATAAAACAAAGTTATTGCTCTATGATTACAGTCTTTATTCTATCATTATAGAACTCACATTTTTATAGTAATGTAGTAAATATTCCTGATAGAATGTAATTACTGTCAAAGAAACATGTCTGTTATTGATGGTGGTCTGTGTCTTTCAGCGTGCCTCCGGGCTGTGTCTCTCTGCGATGCTCTGACTTATTAATTATTTCTTTCTCCAGGAACCCAGACATCTACAGTTACTTGCAGACTTAGAAGAAAGCAACATCTTCACTGTCATCACAGGCAAAAAGCAGCACGGTGCGCCCACAGACTACGGCTTCTGTATCAAGGTGAGTCGCAGATCAAAGTGTTGAGATGCAGCCAATTCCTCACGAAGCACTACGAGCTGAGTCATGATTGACATCCTGTGCAGCTCCGTGTCTCACAAAAAGACCATTGGCTTGTACTAAATATATGAGTGCCTCTGGTTTACTGCTGTATTTTTGGATGGTAACGTTTTTCCCATCATCCTTTAGTTAAAACTATCAGTGATGAAGATGATAATGGTGGGGGTGGGGATAACTTATACAATATCCTGTAATAAGTTAGTTATTATCTCTGTTCTGATTCTGAAAAATGTTCTCTTGCAGCCCAACAAAGCTCGAGGGGAGTTGAAAGACTTGAGGATGCTGTGTGCCGAGGACGAGCAGGCAAGGACGTGTTGGATGACCGCCTTCCGACTCTTTAAGGTAAAAACAATAATTAAACAGTTCTTTTGATTCTATACTAATAAGAATAAATTTGGCTAGAAAGGACATTGTTTCTGGGCAGTGATATATTTCCTTTCCTTTCCATTTTTCTTTCTTTCGTTCCATCTTTCTTTCTTCTGGTGCATTTGTTTTGCTGTTGAAGACTGTTCAAAATCAGTAAGAAGATGTTGGAAATATTTCATGTTTGATTTTTATAATGTCTGTTGACCATTGTATTACTACCTTTTCACAGTATGGGATTGGATTATACCAGAATTACAAGATTCCTCAACAAAGAAAAACCTTAATTTCACACTTCTCAACTCCTGTGGTAAGTTTCCATTTCATTCCTTTTCAGCTCATAACAGTACTTTGAAACACTGACGTCTGACTGGTGTATTTCTGTTGCCCCCTAGCGGAGTGTGTCGGAGAACTCCCTCGTGGCCATGGATTTCTCAGGGAGGATAGGCAGGGTGATCGACAACCCTGTGGAAGCCCAGAGTGCTGCCATGGAGGAGGGACATGCATGGAGGGTGAGACACAGCCTCAGTTTTTATCTTTTCTCTGTCAACAATGCTGCAAGCAAACCTAAGAAACATCCCGACAGATGGCACCTTTTATTTTTGCTCAAATATTCATGCAGAGTGAATTTCCCTCTGATTGTAAGTGTTGATTGGTTTTAATTTACTTTGACCTGACAAAAGTATTTTGTCTTTTCACAAAGCCGATAAAACTGCAGGGCTGATGCCAAAATAAGTGGCAGTTTTTATCTAATGAATCTGAACTAAAACTCACACACAATTAAATCAATATAATTCATTTGGAATGTAGATGATTTTAAAACTTAATTCTAAAGGAATCATAGATGAATACATAGAAAATATTTTTGTTATACATTAATAATATCTGACCTGCTCTTGTTAAATTTAACAGGAGATTTTTCATTATTGTTAAGTAGTTGTAGCTGTGTGTGTGTGTGTGTGTGTGTCTAGTGTGTGTCTAGTGTGTGTCTAGTGTGTGTAATAGAAACATTCATTCTGATGTAAGATACCAGCTCATGAAATAATCCCTGTTGTGTTGTCTCTGTTTGGCATCTCTCTCAGAAGAGGAGTCAACGAATGAACGTATTAGGCTCCCACAGTCCACTGCACCACTCCTCACTAAGCTCAGGTAAATTCAACCACACTTTGTCTTAACCTCTTTTCACATTTTTTGATAATATGATAGATTTTAATATCTTTTTCCCTCTCTCTGCAGTTATCCACATAGCACAGTTGTGGTTCCATGGCAGGATATCCAGAGAAGAATCCCATCGCATTATCCACCAGCAGGGACAAGTAGATGGGTGAGTGACCTAGAGCAATTAAACACATGCACTTTTCTTACTCTCTCAAGTTTAAACTCACAGACAACTAGAATTGCACCAAATATAGGCACCAGGGCCTATTATTATATTATATGATATCATTAATTAGATCCTGATTTGAATTTAGATCTGCAACAAACTTCACACACATAAATATCAGTCGATGAATCAAGATCAAGATCCATGAATTTTTCTCTAAAATCAAAAGCAATGCTAAAATCCTAGATCCGCACCCTGATCCAGATCTGCACCAAAGTTCATGGTTTCTTGTTAGGATCATGCCCTACCCCTCCAAGAAATTTCCTGGAAATTGATTAAGTAGATTTTGTGTATGCCTGCTGGTGAACGAACACACAAGGAAACAACAGTAAGTTAGTGTTTTTTATGCAGCTGAATGTTTTTCTCACATGTTCCTCCTCTGTCTTGCTGGATAGGTTGTTTCTGCTGAGAGTCAGTCAGAGTAACCCCAAGGCGTTTGTGCTCACGTTGTGCCATCACCAGAAATTCAAACATTTCCAGATACTACCGGTATGAATCTCATTGTGTTTGATATTTTTCAGAAATATTTTTGTTTTCTACAGTTTTTGGTAATCCTTTTATTAGGGGAGACAGTAAAATGGACTTTGACTGTTATGTTGATCAAAAAAGGATCCATGACAAATTGCTGTACTCTCTCACCGGTTGCATCTCATTAACTCCACATTTTTGCTAATGATTTTCCTTTTTTTGTTGTGTCAATGTGTGTATCCCACAAAGCAAAGAATTAGGACCAAACTTTGATCTTTTAAGTTTAAATTTGAATTGAAAGTTTCTCTTGAAGCCAATGATTCTCAAAAGCAGAAAAAAAAACAGATTCCATCAGAATAATATTTGTCGCTACAAAAAAAAGCTCAACATCCAAAACCATAGCTGTGGTCTTCTTTTCACCATGTCCCTTCTCTCCTTCTCTCCTCTCACCCCCTTCTGTGACCCTGCTCGCTCTCCCCCTACACCCCCCTGCCATCGCCAGTGTGAAGAGGACGGCCAGATCTTCTTCAGCCTTGACGACGGCGCCACCAAATTCACCGACCTGATTCAGCTGGTGGAGTTCTACCAGCTCAACAGAGGAGTGCTGCCTTGTAAACTCAAACACCCGTGCACCGTCGTGGCCTTATGACATCTCCAGATCCTCTGACCCCGCCCCCATCACTTAACCTGACTCTGCCTAAAACAAGCAAAACAAAAGTAATCGTGCTGTCGTGCGATTCTTTTTGTTTTTTTATCTTTATAAGAAGCTGGTGAATTGACTGATATTTCATTGTTGTTGTTTTATATTGTCGTGAGTCCGCCAGAGACTGCTGACTTGTTGGATTTCTTTTTAGTTTGCATTGATGTTTGAGGAGTCGGACACGCAAACTCGCCCACGAGTTTCCTCGGTCGTGAAGAGAGGATCTAGAGGAAATGATTACTGCCATTTGTGTCAGCGCTGTTGCAAAATCCACGGTCTCGCTTTCCACAGTCGTCAATAAGCTTGGACCCAAAATCCTACAAGGAGGTTTTGAAGCGAAGTCTGTATTTCCTTTAACTGGACAATCAGCAGGACAAGTCGAGCTTTGATTAGGACCACTCTGCTCTAATGAGAATAAACACTTTCCCCATCGCAAACTTTTCATCACACGTCCTCAAAGAATATACTGCAGATGGAGAGGTGATTGTTTTGCACGCATCGAACTGGGAGTGGCCTTTGACAGTGCATGACCTTTACTTAACTGTGAGACGATGCCACCGACCTGTAGTGTCGTAGGCATGCAAAGTCCAAAATTCAAGGTGGATGAGATTCTGAGGTGTCAGAAAGAGTGTCGCTGTATCAAAGGTTTGTCAGATCAAAGTACCCCGGAGAAAAAATTGAACATTGGAACAAAATATTTTTATAGTGGAAAAGTTTGCTTTATTCACCCTCTCAGAAATGAATTTGCTTTCTTTTCTCGTTGATACACGTATTTCTTGTCATCAAATTCATTTTTATTCATAGTTTCATATCTTTTTTTTTTGCATTTGGAAATTTGCAAACCCTCTATTCTTTACATAAGCTACAATAGTGTCATTCTGCACTTTTTCTTTTATTGCACACACCAGTTCCTGAAAACTATTTCACAGGCAACTCTTACAAAAAGAGCATAAATCGAACCACGGTGTCATTCAGGGTAATATAATGAGTAATAAAACAACTGTAACCAGGATGAGTTTTTCAACAGAAGCCATATGTTATAGTTGTATCCATTGTCTTTCCCTACAGGCAAATACAGGCCTATATAAAGCTACCTGTTGCATAAGATAAAGTGGGACAGTGGAAAGCATTAGTTTTTTTCTCCTTGCTTGAGTTCAGGGAAGGGTAATCACTAGCATTTAACAGAGGAAACCCAATATTACTAAACTACTTCAGAGACATGATGCAGCATGACCCCTCCTACCTGCCGTGAGTCAGAGAGAAGCTGTCCATCTTGGTTTAGGCGGCTCTGACTCCACACTGACAGTTGACTCTGCGTTACATGTCGCACAATGCAGCCTTTACCTGCCTGTGAACAAACTGTATCACACACACACCCACTGCCTACTGCACACTACCTGTTTTATCAATTCAGACCATTAACACTAGATAAAAGTTAGCTCAGAAAAAATTTAAGAGAGAAGTTTGTCATATATCAGAATTTGGAAAAGAGAATGATCACTGCATATCTATGTCCTTTTCTTTTCCTCCCCTGCCCATTTCACCCAGTCTCAATACATTATGAGCTTTTTCTTCATTCAGGTTTTGTAACGCTTTCACTCAAAACCAATCAAATAGCCTCTGCTTGTGCTTAGATTTCCTGTTCTCCAGCATCAGCTCCTGTGCCGCTCCTTTGCGTACGTGAACCATCTGCTGATTATTTTTTTTGTCCAACAACTTATACCAAACCAATAGATGTCAGGTGTAGTGATCTTTGATGTCCGGCTCTCAAGCTGAAAGACCACTCTATTGAATAAAGATAGGAAACCCACATTTCTCTAGCCTTCTGTTAGATGAAATGAAAATACTCAATGGTGCAGATACAACGTAAAACTTGAAATTTTAGGACTCTGGCTTCCGACTGCAAAAATCTCACAGAGCCCACTTTGTTTTAACCCATGTCTCTATAGTTGAGTTTACTGAACCCCAGTGCATGCTGTGTTTTCGAAAAGACTGTAAAGAGAGCATCAGACTGAGGGCAGAGGGTAGATAACTCTTAGTTAGTTTTAGAATACTGGACTTGGATTCCAGTAAAGATCACATCTCAAACTCTGGGAAGATATTTAAACTAATCGTGGTCACTTGAGTCTCTCCTGGTGAATTGGGTTCAGAATCCCCCTTCCTAAAATGTCTTAACACAAACAGCATTTTTTGTTTTTCCGTTTCTTCACCTGATATTTCTTGTCACTCCCTTGTCAGTGGCAGCTCTATTTGGGCCACCAGCCGGCAGATCATCAGAAATCTATCAGCAGCCATCTTTTATTTACCTGCAGGTTGTTTTAAGGTGACTGACCATCTGAGATGCAGAATAGCCGCACTATATCGACACTTTGCGTGGTCACCATCTACGATGCAATGACTCAATCATTTTTAAAGTATTGTTGCAGCAAAATGTATTTATTTATCTGGATGTGATTACTTGAAAATTTTAGATTTCTTTTTCTCAGCGCTGTTCTGTACTGTTTTCTGTTGTTACCATGAAATGATTGACCAGTGTGATTTATTATTTTATTATTTTTATTACTGTAATGACCTAGTAACTATGGAGTATTTTTTATTTTCTTTTTTCTTTTAGTTTTGATTATTCAAAAGTAATTTTGTCATCATCAACACTTGTTATGAGGTGATGTTTTTTTTTTTTAAAGCACACTGGCTTCCATAGTATTAACATTGTCATTCCAATAGATGACAGCTGGAATGTTGTGAAATTGATAACAAAATTACTTGAGCTTCCCAAAGCATTAATAGTGACTAAGATATTTTTTCATACCCTTTTTAATTAAGCCTCAGATTATCTTCCCATCACCGATTCATGGTGACCGTAGACATGGATTAAAGTAATACAACTACAGATGTTTTGGGAAACTGGGTCAAGTAAACTTCAATATGCTCATAATTCACTGTTTAAATGCCTTTTACTGAGGAAAGAATGGTAGAGATTTAGATGTAGGAAAAAGCCCTTTACATTCAAGTTAAAACATTTTAAAATACTATCAGTTATAATTGAAAGAATACACAACATTAATCCCCATCTCTCTCTCTCTCTTTCTCTCTCTCTCTCTCTCTATATATATATAGGCATTGTCACAACTTCCTCTGTGTCACCCTTAAAACTACATGAACAGGGAACTAATTAAACCACATCAGCGCAACCCGGTCAGCTGCATTGATCTCAGAGTGAAGAAAATTAAATTAGCAGGTAGTTTTGATCTTTTGCATGAATGTGTATTGTGTCAGGATTCTGTCATTTCTCAGATCTGAGATGTTGATTATTCGTAGGAATCTGGATTGGATTGCTGAATAGGTTCTCACTGAAATGCTGATGTTAGTATTAATCTACAGTCCCCTCAGATTCAGATTCACTCCACCCACTTTGCTCTCCTTCTTAAATTCACAATATTGCTTATTTTTTCTGACTGATGTGAATGGTAACTGACGTTAAGGTGAGGGACGGGTCACGTGTTGTACTGTGGAGTTAGTGTTGGCAAAGAAGATAGTTGTTGGATCTTAGTTGCTCTGAATGCAAAAAGCAGAAAGTAAATTCAAATAGTGAACACACGGATTAATGAATCAGGTGATTTGGACTTCCACATTTTTTTACACTTAACAGAGATGAATGTAACTGGGTTGCTCAGGGTTGATTAAGAGCATGTTAAAAACTACTGGTCCATCAGGTCTCGAGGACGTTTATGTACAGGATGATGATGGCTCGTGGATATTGTAGTTTCATTAAACTGCGAGTTGTTAACTTTTCTCAATTATGTGCACCACCCATCTGCTAGTTGTGATTACTTGAAGATTTCCTTGCCGCAAAATTGAGTAGATCCAGTGCTAAAAAAAAGATTACATTT